TCTATGCCCTGTCTCTCTATGCCCTGTCTCTCTATGCCCTGTCTCTCAACCTGTCTCTCTCTCACCTGTCTCTATGCCCTGTCTCTCTCTGACCCGTCTCTCTCTACCCGTCTCTCTCTACCCGTCTCTCTCTACCCGTCTCTCTACCCGTCTCTCTGCCCGTCTCCCGCTAAACATGGCTCGTCGAATGTGTGTGAGTGTGTTTGTAAAATGTTACCGTAAATGAGCTCTTCCTACTGATGTCATACCTGCTGTCACTCCCATGTCTGCGTCTACATGGCGGCCAATAGCCCCTTTCTGCATGATATTCCATGTTGGATAATAACATGGAGAGAAATAACAACCAACCAAGTACCACTTCATTTTTGAAAGTCTCTCCATTGTCCTTTTCTGACATTGATTCAAATTTGTTTCTTTCCACATCGCTCACGGTAACATCTCATTTGCATTTGATTTAAAGAAATAATAATAATAATGTATTTGTATTTTGACATTTCAAAAGTGTGCGTAAAAGTGTCTCGACAGCTGAGCAAAAGCACAGCTACTGTCTGCATGTCTCTTGTTGTCATAAGCTCTCTTCAAGCTAGATTAGCGGAGCTCTTTTAATTGTCATTGCTGACGCCAGCCAGCGTTTTATTTCGGCAGGAACCTGCCATGTTTGGCATGTTTTTTTTTTTTTTGAAAATCAAAAGCTCTGGAGGGAATTTCCACCCTGTCCTGAAACTGTTACTCACTTGATATGTTTTAAGCAGCAGACCGGGAGACGCTACACACATACAGAGTGTGTTTTATTCGGATCTGCTGCGTTGAATCATCATTTATATCGGACGGTCCACGTGGTCTGAGGACATATCGGGTTAGCGAAGCCCCACGGAAAACACACACACACACACTCTCTCCACCAGGCTGAAGCCAGCTGTGTGACCTGGGGATGAGGGACTCTCTGTGGGTCAATGAGGCCCGTAGACCCCCTTAATCCCCCAGCTGCTTGACCGCACACACAGACACACAAAAACGCCATTAACCACAATATGTCAGGACTTCCCCTGTGTTTGCTTTCATACAATGGTGCTGCAATAATATCACGTATTACACATTTTGATGAAATGAGGTTAAATCAATGTCAAAGAAATGAAAAATAAAGATACTCGCTGCCCTTCTGCTTCTCCTGCAAACACATTTCAGACACTTCCCTGAAGAAACATAAGTCCTCCCATATGAGCAGACAACGGTCATCCAGTGTGTGTGCAGGAAGTTATCTTGCTTCATTTATCCCTTAGGCATTCAGAACATAGTCAGAGAGGTGATGGGGAAGGAGAGGAAGATGAATATTGAGGTGGAAAAAGATGAGGGAATTGAAGATCTCAGAGGAGGAGGGGGAGATAAGGAGAGTGATGAGAGAAGAATGGGGAAGCCGGCAGAGGTTCCTGCCTGTTTGGGTGGCCCTGAGTCGGGTTGAGGACACCCCCTCCCCTCCCATCTACCCCTATATCCCTCCATCCTTTCTTTCCTTTCCTCTTTCCCTCCCCTGGTGGCCTCCACCGTTTAATCTGGATTAATGAGGAGGTTGACCTTCATCTCTCCAGCGTTTTTCACTCCTCGCCGAGCTTTACGTTGAGGAACGTGTTGTTTTCGCCCAGAGTCTCTCCACATCCGCTTCTGTCTTCTCTTGTTATAATATGATATGAGATCTCTCTCTCTGCTCTCTTTTTATGCCTCCTTCCCTTATCTCAAGCCCCTCGACATGCATGTGTGCGTGTCTGTGTGTGTGTGTGTGTGTGTGCGGCTCCATCTCTGCTGACTGACAAGGCAGCGCTGTTCTTTCTTGGGACCACCTGTGTATCCTACCCCCCCCCCTCCCTGCTCTGTTTGGGTGGTCAGGCCAGAAAACGCACTTCACTGATATGTGGGACACACACGCATATAGAAATCCACGTCAGCACAGTCCATGAATATCCTCAAGGGGAGTCCTCTCATGCGCAAGCTGTGTGCGACCTAATCTGCGGTGAGTGAGTCATTCTAATTGGCCAGTCAACAGGTGCTGAGCTGCACTCGGGGGGGGGGGGGGGGGACAGACAGAGGAGACGCAGGGATATGATTGCAGGACAAGGGAGAGGCTAAGCTCAAGGCTTCTGTATAATAAGTACAGTGGGAGCCATTGTTGAGGGGCGGGAAGGAAACGTCCAAATGTGTTCTGCAGCTCTCTGTTGCCGATTGACATCGTTGGATGTTAGTAGTTAGAACTGGTCTTCCTAAGCTTCTCCGAGGTAACCCGATTGAATGTGACCTTTACTACCATATATTGGCCCAAAAGAGGTAGTGATGAGGCTAGTGCAATGCCAGAAGTTACCATTTACGATGTTGACAGGGCTCATTGTAGATCACCACTTTTAAAAATAGGAGAGTTTCCCTTACAGCGAGGCCGATGAGGACCTGACTTTTAGATGTGCTTACTTGCAAGACATGTGTGTGTCACTCAGCACTGGAAACAGCACATGAGATGGAAAGCATTCAAATGGGCCCGTGAAAGGTGAGCAGCCCTCCCTTTTCTTGTCTCCACTCTCTCTCTCTTCCTCCTCTCTTACCTTCTCTCCAGTTCCCTCTCTTCCTCAGTCTCTCTCTCTCTCTCCTTCCGTCTCCCTGAGGCCCGCGTGTTGCCTTACCCAGGGGTTTAGCCCCTAATCACCCAGAGCTAGTGGGAGGGAACCGGAGACTTCCAGCTGGCTGCCTCGTTACTGCAGACCCCTTGGGACACACACATTCCTGCACACTCCAGCTAAACACACACGCACACACACACACGACCTCATATATGCTTACCAAGGCATTTGCTGTTATCTCTTGGCATCTCTCCATCCACGTCCCCCCCCCCCCATCAACTGGATCCTGCCAAGGCCACGGCCTCACCATGTAAACTGAATAACAGGAGGAGGCTTACCGCGAGGGAGGGCCAAATCTCTGGCACGTCCTCTCCTCCAAACCAGTTTAAACCAGTGTTAAATGTCTTCTTCCTCTTTACACCCACCCAAGCATACATAAATAGGCTATTTATATATATATATATATGTGTGTGTCTGTTCTGATTATTTTTAATCTTTCAGGAGGGATCCATATGATTACCCCACACACTCCAGACCAGTGGCGAGAGAACCAGCCTACCCCGGGCACTACACCGATCCTCCGCAATCCCATCAGGCGCCCAGCAACCAGCGTTACTACCCCTCGTCCTCCGGCGCGGGGCAGCAGCACCGTGCAGCAGTGAGGCAGGACGTCCCCCCGTCTCCCACCGCGGGCCGCAGAGGGCGGAGCTACTACGAAGGCCCGGGGGGACGGGGAGACGGCCACCGGCAGGCCAGCCCGGGTCGTTACACCGACCCAGAGAGGTACCGCGACATCGGGGAGCGCCACGCCAGCCCCGAGCGCTACGACCTCGGGGACGAAAGACAACCCGACCCGAGGCGGAAGAACCCCTTGATAGGAGCGGTGTAAAACAAAAAAGATACCCCGGAGTGACAGTACCCCTCTCGTCGAGTCAGTCACACAAAGAATATAAATAACTCCAAATTCATGTGTTTCTGGAATTGTGAATTATCATATCAGCTGTCCGGGCTGCCAGTGTGGATAAGTGAGATTTGGCCATATTAACTTATCTGATCAGGAACCCTTAAAGCTAGAAGTGACAAGCTGGGAGGCTAAAATAAGGCTTATTTTCTGAACCATCTGGTCATAACTCTGCACAGGCCAAGACAGATTTAACGTGTGTGTGTGTGTGTGTGTGTGTGTGTGTGTGTGTGTGTGAGCAAACGTGTACATGTATACACATGTTTGCAACCGCTTGTGTGTACACGCAAGTGTGCCCATGTTTATATTGACAGATTTTATGATGTGTCTTTGAAATTAGTATATATTTAGTGTATAGAATCAACTCTGCCAGCATTTTGCACAAGCTGATCAAACTGAAGGAAATAAGGAAGGATCACCTTGACCAGAAGAGCCAGGAAACACAGGAAGTTGAAGTGGACACACAGGAAAGGAAGCAGCTTCAAAGTGTCCTCTTGTCCTTGATGTTTTGTCTCTTGGACTTCCTTTACATCCGGCCATATAGATATCTGTATTTTTGCCTTTGATTATGTGGATGTAAACGTGGATGTAAACGAGGCCGATACATTCACTGAAGATTTGTCCGACGTATAAATGCAATGCATATGAATTTATTTGTGGTATTTTGGTGGGGTTTCTAATTAAAAATGTATAAATGTGACGGATGACAGATTATAAAAGTGTTCCGTGTGAATCCTCACACACGGGGCAGCTAATATAGAGCTTAATAAAACGTTTGCATCTTTTGACCTGTCACTGATTTAAGTCACTGCACTGATTTGATTCAAACACATATTTTGCATTAAATGTTTTGAAATTCTCTCTCCGAGCCGCACCGAATCATTTCACCCGATGTCTGTTCCTTTTAACAAATGATCCAGACTCTGCATATTTCAAATATCCAGTCAAACTACGACAACACCGCGAGTCATCGCTTTAAATATTCATTAAAAATATTCAGCTTAATTTCTCTGAGCACAATGTTTAGATACATTTGCCCTGTGAGATGACTGATAAGAGTCGCTGGCGTTCTGGTGATGACTGAATCATATTCAACAATTAGAGGCAGGGAAGTCTCCACTAGGAAATGATTACTGCCCAATTTGCTCTCAGAAATAAAGATGGCACTGATTGGTGAAATTAGACGTTAAAAGGGGAATAATTAGAGTGTGGAGGAGGCTTTTTCTATCATAGTGTTTAATTAGCGTCAAAGCCAACAAGGACCGGGCCTCTGCTGATCCGTCTCGTCTCTGCACCGCTCTGACCCTCGACTCGACAGAAAGATTTATTTTCAACCAGTTCCTCCTCGAACAACATACATTTGACCAGAAACTATTCAACGATATGCCCCCTTTAGATTCCACCACTATGGAAGTGATTACGTGTCTTATCCCATTCTCACTGAGGGCAAAGCATCACACAGCACTTAAGTTGGCCTCACTGGCTATTCACTGTACTTTAAAGAATAGCCACGCAGTAAACAGCCTCCTTCAAGTGCTTGTGGTCAGTTCGCTGCCAAAGACGATAAACAACAGCGACGGAACGTCCCGGCATTAACTGCATTTAACGGCCATTAAACAAAAGCGGAGTGCTCGCCTGTAACACACATCTTCTGTAATCAGGTACCCTGTTCGTGTGTCTTGTGAGTGTCTCCCCTTTTTGTTCGTGGTCGTTTAGAAGTTTCAGTTCAAACCCATGACGCGCACGCACGTGGTCGCGGCCATTGGTGCACTGACAGACATGTTTTCATGATATCAAGGCCGCCTCTCGTTAAACTTCCCCGACCATTTTTCTGCTGGGTCGTTTTTGGAAATTCACTTTCTATTTTTTTTAACGTGAATTCATTTGACACCTCATAAGCCCGCATTCCTGTCACAGTTCCTAAAAAAGGTAAAAGTGCAGAAGCACAGGCTGTTCCCCGGTCGATTGTCATGAACCAGGGGTTGTGGGAGAATTCCCCAGTTATGTTCTCCTAGCATTACCTATTCTGCCTTCGCCCCCTTGTCGAACACCTTAGCTTGTTAGCATGTGTCAATCAAAAGCCATGCTCTGGGGAAGGGCAAAGTGGAGGAGCCGAAACAGTTATCTCTCTCCCACACATGCTCCCAAAAAGAGGAGAGCCGGGAGATAGATGGAGGGGGGAGGATATGGTAGAAGGAGCGTGTGTGTGGGGACGTCACCCCCGTACGGGGTAAAAGGAGCGGGTGAGTGCCCACGGTGACCTCGGGCCTGCTCTCGCCCCACCACCACCACCACCACCACACCCCTCTCCCGCTTTCATCCTCTTCATTAAAGGCAAATTCCACCGCATTAGCCCCGCTGTCCTTCTGTCCTTCACCTGCTGCCATTCATTTCAATTCAGCCCTCGTTAAGGCATCATGGAGAGCAGTCGGAGCGGGCCGAGCGGAGCTTCTCATTTAATTATACAGTTCATTAGAAAGCCGGCCCTCCTCCCAGGTCTGAGACAGGCCATGGGAATAGCTGGTGGCTAATGTACAGTTTAAACGGGCTGAATATGGAGATTGGTGGAGTTATGGATTACCGTTACCCGTTAGCCTGCCCTTCACCCACCTCATCCGCTCGTATGTCTGCTGTGTAGCCTTTTGATACAGTATCACTCAGGTTGGAGTGTGCTCTGTCAGCCAGCGTGTTTGTTTGATATTGTTCATGAGCTGTGAAATTCAATTTCCACAGCTGGGCTGATATTGGAAATAATTTCATATCCTGTGCAATATTCTTGTTTGGTTTCCCCTTGTGCTGTGTTTAAGACGTCCATTTTTACTTAATGTGTTTTTCCTTCTTCTCTTCTTGGCGAGTCGACACAGCGGCGCTGTTCATTTCGACCGTGTTTACCCCGAAAAGCAGCCTCTTCGTTTGCCCGCACGCCGCCGGCAGCCGTGCCCACCGGCCGCCATCTTCTACACACCGACTGTCGCCATGGCAACGGGGCCTCCAGAGCCCACAGAGCTGATGACATCGTCGGGGCTCCCACCTGAATTGAACAGGCTGCATTGTGTATTTGCTTCCTGGTCAGATTCCGGCATCCAAACACCCTCCAAACTCCTCTCTTCGTACGTCTCCCCAGAGAACGGAAAGAAAAGTAAGTGCCGTGCACTCTGGTGCTAACCCCGAGGCTAGCAGCACGGTTCAGTGGGTTGCGATGTGGCCAGCAACAGCTGAAGTCCGTGACCCCTGGACCCCATCCATCAGGCTTTCAGCGCCAGCCCTGGCCTCTGACACACACAGGACTTCAGCCAAGGACTGGAAGCACGCAACGGGGAACTGCATCAATGTCAGGGAGACACTGGAACCACATAAAAAAATCACATGGAGACACTTTGTCCAACACTTGACATGCATACAGTACAAACCGGCATGCGAGTCAACACACAGCCGTGTGGTTGTGCATGTGAGTTTAATATAGTTATAAATGTTCCCAGAGTTCAGAAGCTGCCAAACTGCGGTTTAGTGTCTGTCATGCACACACTCATATCCGTGTATTTGAAGTTCTTACTCCAACACACTCTCCTGACACACAGCGGCACATCCGCAGCGCTCCGCCCTCACACACACACACACACACATTACCAATGTGTGTGTGTGGCAGAGGCTCAGCTGACCGGCTGGCAGCCACTGTGAAATTGGCGCCCTTCTCATGTAGATGCCAGGTGTTTAGCTTGGCAGTGCGGGGGGTGCTGCGGGTGAGCTTGTGTCAGGGGTCTCGTGTCCCTGTTAGCCCGGCCCGCTTGGCCCGGGAGCGAGCCCCAGCCGGACCCGAGAGGAATTAGCCACCGCTTAGTTTCCGTACGAGCTTGAAAAAATGCTGCGTGTGATAGATTGTCTTCTCGTAACTCAGAGAAAAACTCAGTTTGGTTTACAGTCTGGAGAGAGAAGAAGAGGAGATTGATACCACTTATATATTTGTCTGATACATATGTTAGCTTAGCTTAGCATAAAGACAGGAAACAGTAGGAAGCAGCTAACTTGGCTCTGGCTGAAGTAATAAAATCCGTCTACCAGCACCTTTAATGCTCCCTTATCAACATATTATATCTTGTTAGTTTTAATCCATACAAAAATGAAGGTGTGGTCTTTTAGGGAGCCATGTGGTGGACTATTTCTTGGTCGCGTGCAGTCACTTCCTGTAGTCTAAGCTCAGCTTCCTGGTGCCTTTTGGTGATGTATTTTTATTTAATTCCTTAAATCGCACATCCGTCCGTCCGTCCAGCTGTAACTGACAGGCAGGTCATTTGACTTCCGGGCCACGTGTTCATCTCGCAGAGATGGTTCGTTCCAGCGTGGCTCAGACGAGGGCGAAGACAAAGTGGAGCCTCATTGGAAAGTCGCTGTCGCAGCCAGCAGTGTAATCCATCCACGCATTCCTTCCAGAGAATGCCAAACTGCTCGCTGAAAATGAGCTGCGGACCCGACTCAATTAGATCTCCGCTCTGTCTCCAGGCTCTCTATCTTTCAAACACACACACACACACACACACCTCACACTGTAGCTGCGAGTAACACACACACACTCTGCGGCTGCCACCAGCTTCATTAGTGCTAAGAAATGTCCTGCTCGTTAAGGCGAGGCAATTAGTGGCTAATTGAGAAGCTCTGCAGTGAAGACAAACTTGTGCTTCTCTTATTCCAGCCCCCCCCCCACACACACACACACACACAAATGTGAGCATTTTGACCCGTTTTTTTTCGACCTCGAGCTCATTTGCTCGACTCCATTGAGCAGCAGCCCGAGGGAGATGAGGAGCAAAACACAGGGAGAAGTTTTTCCTCCTTCTCTTTTGTGCTGCAAGACTATTTTTGCATTATAGTTTTATTTATTATAAACGTTTCGGCGTTTGCTGAGACAGCTCAGAGCTTTTCTTCTGCAGACACATTGTGACACACACAGAAAAGGGCATAATAGGGAGTTTCTCTGAGTCATCTCAGTGCGCCTTCCCCTTCATTATGCCTCCTTTCTAGACATAACAGTCAAACTGCCACAACTACACAAGTTACCAACTGCCTGCCCTTCTCACTCGGCGGCTTGACTTTCCATCCCTCCGTCTGTGTGCTTCTCTCCGCCACACTCCTCTGTCTCCTCTTTCCATTCTGTCACCCCCCCCCCCCCCCCCCAATAATTCTTTGCAGTCCACAGATAAGCTCCATGATAGGGAGGAAATGAGATCGACACACACACACACACACACAGCCTGATTAATCTCTTTCACAAGTTGCTTTGGAGAAAAAACTCTGCAGATAAGACGAATAAAACATGCAAAGGAACGGTTTAATTAAAGCATTCACTTTTTATTTTGGTTATTCACGCAGCGATGCTTCTCCTGACTTTGTCCTACAGGGGGCAGAGTCCTCGTCGCCCCGCTGCACTTGTGTGACCTCTTCCCTGGTTTATATGCACATTCCCTGGCACGGCCTCGCACTCACAGTGTACCGTCGGCCTTGAGTGATCAACAATCTTTCCCGAAGAAAAACAAAAAGTTAAGCAAATAAACCACACACACACGCTTCATGGATTTCCCCTGTAAACATCAGAGATATGTGACCTGCTCGCTCTGACCTCCCTCTGAGAGAGTGTTTTTATAACACGCCTTATCTCAGCCCACCCCACTTCAGAGGGAGAAGGGCGGGAGGCCGGTGGGGATGGGATCTGAGCCGGGGATTCCCTGTGTGTTTTGCTTAATTCTCCAAGCTAGCACACACACACACACACACACACACACACACACACATTCAC